CTGGGAGTTGAAGTCCACTCATCTTAAAGTGGCCAAGTTTGGACAACACTGCAGTAGAGGGTGGCAGCTATACCCATGAGTTTTGTGTTTAGGCATTGCAGGGTTTGGGTTATCTAGTTCTAATTACAGCCTTGGAATGCTAAGAACCAAAAGGTTCTGCAAATGAAATACTTGAAAGGTGTTTTTATTTTCATGTTAATCAGAGCCATTGAGACTGTTTTATTAGAACTATGGGATGTGGGATGGGGGGAAGAGTGCTTATGTATATTTGGAAAGAGTTTTTATTGTTTTCTTTTTCTTTTTTCCATAGTGGAAGGTTCAGTGAGACGTTTAGAGAACCAGGAAGTGAAAATTAATTTGGCTGTGTGATTAAACTGTAACTTTTGATATAATGGGATTTATGGCTGGCATTGTATGTTCTGGAAAATGCATTGCTATCTCTGATTTTTCCCTATAAAATGTAATGCCATAAAATTGTGGTATAGACTTGGGATTTTTTTTATTTTTGGTCTATACTTGTTCATCTTTCAGATAAGGCTGACTACTATGTATCATGGAGGTAAATTCAGGAGAAGCTGAAGTTCATTGCAGATAGGACACCTGGAAAATAACTACTTCAAAACTTTTTTATGCTGTTTCACTCTGCTCATTGGCTTTCTTATCTAAGCAGAAAAATATTGCACTGTACCTGGAAAATTTAGAGGTAGTTCTACTGTAGTGGGCTGTAGGTTTGCATCTTCACTTGCTTGATTACTTGCAAGGATTTTTTTTATGTCTAATGCAACAACTTTAATCACATCGCCTGTGGACAAACAACATTCATGGCCAAGCTTTTCATACATCGAACCTGAGAGATAATGTGAAGATAAAGAAGTTTTACTGATGTTATTAGCAGTTTCAAAGTACAGTTCCATAAATTTTACTCCTCCTTTGAGAAGCCACATTTTTTACCGTTAGTGCACAGTTTAGATACCATCATCTACGTTCCTATTATTTTGGGTCTAAATATCAAGATAAGTGAGAACCAAAATAATTATTCTGAGACTTGCTAACCTATACTTTCATCTGCGTCTAAGGAGGCATGGCAGCTTCCAAAAGAAGCAAAGCTTTCTCTGTCATCCCTTCTGCAATTTGTCCAGCCTTGTCCAGAAACTATTTGTTTAATTTGTTCCCAGAACTTTGCATGTAATTCCGTGAACCACCAGTACTGCTAGCATCTAATATTTTCAAATTGTTTATGGCTGATTGAAAAAACCTTTAGCAGTCACTCAAGTGTACAGAAGGGAGCCAGTTTGGTGCAGTGGTTAAGGCACCAGGCTAAAAAATGGGAGATGCGAGTTCTAGGCCCACCTTAGGCACGAAGCCAGCTGGGTGACCTTGGGCCAGTCACTCCCTCTCAGCCCTAGGAAGAAGCAAGCAATGGCAAGCCACTTCTGAAAATGCTGCCAAGAAAACTTCAGGGACTAGTCCAGGCAGTCGCCAGGAGTCAACACTGACTCAAAAGCACAAAACAAAAAACAAAAACAAAACCCTAGCCATACAGGCCATTTTAAAGGAAGAGCCCAAACAAGAGGATAATTTTAGAAATTACCGAGCAGTTTGTAATTGAAACACATTCCTAATATTGCTTACAAATGGCAGCTTCAGTTGACTTCAAGACTCTGCTTCCTCCACCTCAAATAACACAGCAGTTCTCTGTCTTGGCTTTATTTTTTTATCCTATACATTTTAGAGCACATGGGATTTAAATCTAAATAAATGGTTCTGGGCATATCCACATTTCTTAGGGAAAGCATGACACTTTTTAACATCCTTAAGTCAGCAGAAAATTCAGTTGTCTATAAAATTGTTATTGTGCATATTTTTAAAAGGAAAGCTTTTTGTAAGGTGGGGAATACAAATTCATTTCCCTGAAATCAATTGGCAAATAACACGCTTAGCTTATTCAATATCCACATTTATTTGACTCCTTTGAGGAGACAGTTTCAGTAAATCAGATGCATTTTTAGGAGACTTACTGTTCTTTAAAATCATATTTATGCTTAAATGAATCACTGCAATCATTCATTTCTTCAGTACGGATTATGAAATAATTGCCAGGGGAGGGGAAAATGGGAAATGTTTTTTTGTTTCTAACTTGAAACAAAACATTGCCTCCTGAAATACCTGCTGTATGGCTTCAAATTGCCTATGGTTTTATGAAACAAAACTTGGACTGCTCTAGGTATTCAGCATTTAATTGAACCAAACCTTGAAAAGGTGTCAAGTGTTTTGGCTGGGAGAAATAGTGGGAAAATCAGAATGACCTTCTTGGGATGCAAAAATTTGCAATGGCAGCAAAGAAGTACAAGAAACAAACTCTTGGCTACCCTCTAGTGGTGTTCCAGATGTTTGCAGCCCAGATATGGGGGCCTGAGCGCTAGCCTTTCTTGAGCTTCGATTACAATCATAATATAGCTATGGAGATGACTACAGCTAGTCCTTGTTTAGTGAACGCAATTGGTTCTGGTGTTAAGTGAAGCAGTCACTAAGTTGAAAATCATGTGACTTATGATTTCACTTCAGCTTTCCTTTGCTTTACAGCATCAGAAGGATATGACCCCCAAACAGCTGGGTGGGCCCAAATGGAGGAGAAGGTTTCTGGAACTCGACTCATGAGGAAGCCAGGTAAAAGAGCAAATCTTATAGCCTTTTCCCACTATTCCCCTGCCCTGTGGAATGCTTTCCCCAGCACTGGGATAATTAGCAAGAAGAGAATTGATGTTTGTATTTACATTCATTGGAGAGGGAGGATGACAACAGAGTAAGCAGGCACACAACTGGGAACACACATCAAAGGGATGCACCAGCCCTGCTGTTTGCCCAGTGAGCTGCTTAGGAGGCAGACAAAAGCCTTAGGGTGAAACTGATTAGGGCCTTGTCAATTTCAGATGCCAGCAGCTGCAAGCTGGAAGGTTCTAATCAACTCATTGAGGTCACAGAGCTGAACTTGTTAACTTGTGGTTAGTACTTTTTAAGGAAGTGCTTGCCCTGCAGAGAAAAACAGCTCAGGAAGAGACAGCTTGTTTAGGCAATCTCTCTGCTTTGGGGGGAGAGGAGAGAAAAATGGGTCAGGCACAGGACAATGTGCACTAATTGACTATAATAGTGAACCTGTGACTGAGAGAGAGACTCTGTGAAGGTTGTGAACATGGGCATGGGTTGCAAAGTTACTTCTTCATCTCTGTTGTAACTGCAAATGGTCACTGTCTGAGGCGGTCACTAAATGAGGATTATCTGTAATAGGCTGAGTTTGGGGGATTTTGATCTCACATACAGGACACAACCCTTTCAAATCAATTATCTCTTCTAGGGCAGGAGGACCTCCTAGTAGAAAACATTGCATTCAGGTTGTAGCATGAAAGTGGAGGGAGGGTTGCAAGCAAGGCCGGAGGGTTGGAGGATGACAGCTATTTATTTTGCAAAGGCCAGAATGAGTTTTGAGAGCTCCTGCTTTGCTTGCAGCAGTCAGAACTCACTCTTGCTTTCCTTGGACGAGTCTACAAATAAGCCCTGAGAAGTGACTTTTGAGGTTGCCCACTCAGGCAAACCTGAAACATTGTTGAAACTCTTTCCAGTTTGCCTGGACACACCTGCAGTAGGTTTTGTGCAGGCGAAGTGGGGCAGCAAAGCCTCTAGCAACCTTTGAGAGATCAGTCAAACATATCCGCCAAGCACTGCAGCTTTATTTTTTTATTTGTGGGAGGGGGAGATCACATACATCCATTGAGCATTTTAAGGAATGCAGTGTTGCAACATTTGAGAAACCCTGAATTCTTAAAAAACGAATCCAAATACCTTCTCAATCTTTGTCATCCCTTTGAGGTAGTCCAGACAAGACACCAAAACCATGAGTACTAAGACTACCTTTATTGTAAGGTTACAGTAACAGAATCTTGCAAGTCTGAAAGCGCTTCTCCCCTCCCCTGCCTTTACTTTCCCATCTGAGACTTTTTCCATGATTCTATTCCTTCTGGGGCTGAGGCATCTTTTGTCTGACCATTGTCTAGGCTGTAACTCTCCCTCCTGTCTACCAAGGTTATTCTCACAGCCCATTACAATCTGTTTTGTCTATGCATAAACCCCATTTTGCAGACAATTATGGACCATCTCTCTCCAGTCTAGCAGGTACAGCCAAACCGAGTTGGGGCTGCTGATAGAGTGGAATGAACTGCTAGAGATCTTCTATCTCTTTGCTTTATTCTAGCAGTCATCCAAATTTGCAGTCCAGATAAGGAAGGTCTATGGGAGATGGGAATCATCTTCCCAAAAACTCTGGGACAAAAGGTCAAAGATACAAATCAGCTATTTATTTATTTAATCAAATTTATTAGCTGCCCAACTCCTTTTCTACCCTCTAGCTGCTTTTCTGGAAGTACAGTACGGTTTTTCTTCTTAGAAACCTGAATGGAGAAAATTGTTCCATTCATTTGTGTAGGGGAGAAAAAAGAAACTTCCTCCTTTGCAAATTTTCTTTCTGTTCGTCTGTGTGTGTGAGAAGAGAGAGAGAAGGAGAAAGAGAAAGCAAGAGAATGAGGAACAAAGGAGCCTTTATCATTTTATGATGGGACACAACCATATTAACTATTTCCTACAGCAATCATTCTGTGTCTTTCCTACCCCATGACTTTTTCAAAGAACGGCCAAACGAGCCAAGAAACCAAAAGATTTTGAGAAAGCTGCTAATATGTTAAAAGTGGGTTTAAATTATCAGTTAACAAAACTGCAGCTCTTTGTAGAGCTATACTTCCGTAGATCACTTTCTGGTTTTCATCTGCTATTGAACTCACTTAGTATATTATCATATTTATTGCAAATACTTCTGGTAACGTGGGTTAGCACAAGTTTCCTAAAATAATTGAGGGTGAGAAAATAAGTTAGGCATTATGATTTCTGAGGCTTCTCTTCATTTTAATGTGGTTTTGTGGTATTCTGAGTAGAGCAGTTTGTGTGAGATCATGGGCAGCAATGGCTATGCATTAAAAGACAACCATATGAAAACAGCAGGGCATTGGGCTGTGCTCATAGTACCGTACTAATGACAATAAGTAGAACAGCCAGCCTTAGAATTGACAATGAAGATATTGAAGTATCTTCTGGATAGCCTCTGCCCTTTAGGATCAACCATCAACACTAAAGAAGCAAGCAGTCAAGAAATACGCCACAGACTAACACTTGGTAGAGCAGACATGAAGGCCTAGGAATTCAGATGCTATGATGTATCGATGCCTACAAAGATCAGAATAGTGCAAGCCATGGTATTTTGTGTGACACTCTATTGAAGTGAAAGTTGGACTTTAAAGAAGCAGGAAAGGAAGAGTTTTGATGCTTTTGAACTTTGGTGTTGGAGAAGACTCTTGAGAAGATCATAAACAGCCAAGAAAGCAAACAAATAGATCATCGAACAAATCAGCTCAGAGTTCTCACTTGAGGCAGAAGTGACCAGGCTCAAATTATTCTACTTCAGACAGATTATGCAAAGACCAACTCTCTGGAAAAGGCTCTAATGCTGGGAAAGGTAGAAGGAAAGAAAATAAGAAGATGACCAGCAGCAAGGTGGATGGACTCAGTTACAGTGGTGATGAGTACATCATTAGAAGACCTGAAAAACTAAGTTAGGGACAGATCATCATGGAGAAAACTATCTATGTGGTTGCTAAGAGTTGACACTGACTTCATGGCACATAATCAACCAAACAATCCAATAGTACCATAGATATGTTTGCTTAATTCCATGAAAAAGCATTCCCAAGACCACAGCTGCTTTATTTTATACCTACTGCTTTTCAGCTTTCTTATGCTGCTGATCAGATGAGGTTTGAGTCCTCTGCATAGAGGGATGTGGATATAACATTGATATAGGTATGCAGAAGTCATTGAGGGAAGATAAAAGACAATTCAGTCCTGAGAAAGGGGAAGGTGTGAGAAGAAAGAGAAAGAAAGAAAGAAAGAAAGAAAGAAAGAAAGAAAGATTCTCAAAATAAC